CTCTCTCCTCTGCTCTCCTCTCCTCTCCTCTCCTCTCCTCCTTCTCTTGCTCATCCTCCTCCACTCTTTGAATCTAAAATTGACTTTAAGAGAAAATGGTCTCAAACTTATTTTCCACCATTTCTTATTTTTCATAGGGATCTTTGAGAAGACAGAACAACTAAAACAAAGTGCTTCTGGGTTCATGTGCTTCTTAGAACATTAAGATACCACTTATTCTACTAAAGGCCATAGACAGGCCTTAGCCATACATGAGGAGATTGAAACATGACAACAGTCCTGAGGGATGTGCTCACATCAGTGTGAAGGCACTATAGATCTGAAGGATCATGTGTAATGGGAAATCTCCTTCAGGCTTTGATCTGCCCTTATTTAGATAAAAAAAGAACCTTTCCATATGATCTACCAGAAAAATATTCTAAAACCTGAGCATCAACATTTGCAAGATTTCATGAAACTACCTAAAATAATCCCAGTTTGCCTAAAATGGTCCTAAAAGACACCCATCATCCCTGTGTAATTATTAACAGCATGCCTTTTCATCTTAGATGTGCTTAAAACTGGATTACAGATTTTATGTTTGCCCTACTAAAAAGAGCATAAGCAAACATTTAGACTCTGTGGCCCTGTGGTCTTCCAGATTAACTAACTTCCATCTACTTTCTATTAAGCCTCTGTCTGTCACCTTCTTTACCCTCGAAGTCCTCCTTAACTAAACCTGCCCTTCCTGCACAGCTAATACTACATTTCAGTAGCCTTTACCTTCAAAAACAGAAAAGGATTAAACTACAAGCTGCCTCTGATTTATCCTAGCCAAACACTTTAAGCAGAAAACTATAACCCCAAACTGTCTCCTAAAATATATTTAAAAAGGAAAATTGGGTTGCAGAAATTACATTGGAACCAAGAATAAAGTAATAAGTTGGTTGGCACTGTTTAACTTCAAAGAGAGCATTTTCTACTGCTCTGTATACTCAGGAAGTACAAAGGATGACCTTAAGACATGACAAATGGCATGCATTGCAGCACTGTACACAGCCAAAAGCTGAAAGCAGCCTACATGTCAACCAACTGCAGAATGGACACTAAATAGTGGGATAGTCACAAAATAAGATTCCATTTAGCCATGAAAGTTAATGACATCAGTAAGTTAGTAACGTTAATGACAATGATGACAGTAATATATCAAGAAACAAAAGAAAAACAAGTACGAATTGCATATTTTATGTTCTCATGTTGTTATGCTATAAATATGAAATGTCTCCCATGGGCACTTGTGTTTGATGCTTGGTTCCTGGATAGCTACACTGTTTGGGGAGGTTTTAGAACCTATAGAAGATAAAGTCTAGTTAAAGGAAACAGGTCCCTGGGAACGTGACTTTAAAGGTTGTACCTGATCCCTAGTTCCTTCCTTGCTCTGCTTCCAGCTTTCTCCACCCACAGTCCTGCCTCCAAGATATCCTGCCATGTAAATGAGTCAGCAACGTAAAAGAAGGTGATCACAAACTGAACCCTCTGAAACTTAAATCTTTTCCACCTTAAATAATGTATATCAAATATTTGATCACAGCTGCAATAAACCTAACACATATGTATATAAACTTTTTAAAGGAGGAAATGAACTAGTGATCTTAGAAGTCAGTTGGCAATTACTCCTCACTGAAGACTTTGAGTTAGTGACTCAAAAGACACAGAAAAGATGGGTTGTTAGCAATATTCAGTTTCTGACATGGCTGCTGCTTGTACTGCTTAACTGTATCTACTTAGCAAGAAACTCATCAAGCTATATGTACTGTATATGAGGTACTTAAATTTAAAGTTTATTATGAGAATCAGTAGAGAACAAAAAAAAAATCCTAACAAATTAGTTTACTCAAAATTTTCTGAACATCTTGAGCCATAATTTTCTCATTTGGAAAATAAGTATTTTCTGACCTGACAACTCACTGTAGCAGAATATGCAAGAAAAATAACACTTTTTATTTCCCATCCATTTTATTTCTCTTAAAATAAAACCTTGTTGTATTTTTCTTATATAAAGGGAGGAAAACATGAGAAAAGATAATTAATGCATATGGAGAAATTATAGAGTCACTAGTATTATGCTGGATGTTTTCTAATATAATACTGTGTTTATAACAACTATGAAACGTATATGCCTGTGGCAGATTGTATTTTCCAAAGATGGCCACACCACCACTCACACATGCATAGTCTGCATCCCACATGCTCTTAGAGTAACAGGACTGACACTCTTCCAGTGAAAATTTGGGATTTTGGCTCTAGGCGGGTACCAGGATTTCTTTGATCAATATAATATGGTGGAACTGATGCTGTGGGCCATTCAAGGTGAAATCATAAAAGGATAGTCATGCTGCATTTACCTCTGTTTTCACTTTTCAGCTTCATTTGCCCATTCAAGGTGAGATCATGAAAGGATAGTCATGCTGCATTTACCTCTGTTTTCACTTTTCAGCTTCATTTGGTACAGCACACTCAGAGCATTCTGGCCTTGTCTTAAACTACACTACAAGGCAAAAACTTCATGGGTGTTTGCCCAGTAGTGAGAGAGAACAGAAACCCTTTGGAATATGGCTTAAAATGAGTGGATATCAGGAAATATATCCTAGGAAGCAACCAGAGGAATAGCCAGTACCAAATCTGAAAGACTTGGTCTAATTTTTGCTCAGTGTCCAGAAAGTCTCCCCTCAGTTCTATGTTTGAATGATGTTTTGAGGTTTGTTTTTATGAAGAAAATGGGTATTTCTTTTTAGTGCATTTAATCTCTTACCCATTGCATTTTCCTATTTAGAATCGCAGCTTAGAAGAATGTGTATCAACAAAAGAGAATTATCTCTATTCCTCTGTTTAGATGTTACTTTGTTCATTACTTAACAAATACACCTTATTTGTAATGTTTTCATAATATACATGTTTTTATATTCAGAAAGATTCCACTTGATAAAACAAGAATTCTGGGTGGAATATAAAAATTGTCCTTTTTATCATGAATGATCTTGGAGAAACTAAGTTAAAATCCTACAACAATAAAGAAAAAAGTATGAATCTAGAGGGACAAGTACTAGATCAGGTATTTGCCTCTGTGAAACTCGGATTCCTGGTGACCTGGTGAGTTCAATGGGTTTCCTGTGTGGTACACAAGAGATAAAGCCTGGCGCATAATGCTGAACCCCAAAGAAAATATTCTTTGTCTAAATTAGAGGAAGAAAAGAACCCACAAAGAAGTAGGTCAAGATATGTCTGAATTGCCTTGATTGTAGAAGAGCAGAAAATAAGATAAAATATCCCCTGAGAATTTCTAATCATCTCCATGAGTGGGGATAAAAAAATTAAATTACATATATAGCAAAAGATTCTGTATGGAAAATAGGATTTAAATGCAGATGTCAAAGAATTTCTCCAGATAAATATCCAAAGGCCGTGAGCTCATCATGCAAATCATTAAACAAACACAGAGTAAGACAGTATAAATTAGAAACATCATAAATGACAAAACACAAACATATGCCTTATGGTATTTGCTAGTTGTAAAATTATTAAGGGGGATAATACAAAATAAATGTATTTAATATGGTTAAAGAAATAGGGAGCTGGAATAATGGCTCAGCACTTAAGAGCGTTGGCTGCTTGTGCAAAGGACCGGGGTTCACTTCTGAGTATCCAAATGGTACAACTGTACATAATTCCAGATCCAGGGGATCCAATGCCCTCCTCTGGCCTCCATGGACCTTGTACACACAGGTATACTTACACACATGCAGGCAAAACACATACAATAAAAAACTTAAAAGAAATGGAAGAACAA